AGAAGCCTTTGTGAAGTTCCTTTTCCCTGGAATGTTTCTCATTTAACTGGCAGCAATAGCTGTAGGACAATTGTTCCAGCTATCCGTTTTTTTCAAACAGCACTGTTCCTCTTTGCATACAAATTTTTTAAGAGAAAAATTAGATGTGTCTAACATGAAAAGACACTTAACATCACTCATCATCAGGGAAATGCAAATCAAAACTACACTAAAATACCACCTTACACCTGTTAAAATAGCTATTATCACTAAGACTAAAAATAACAAATGTTGGAGAGGGTGTGGAGAAAAGGGAACCCTCATACATTGCTGGTGGGAATGCAAACTGGTGCAGCCACTATGGAAAACAGTATGGAGATTCCTCAAAAAATTAAAAATAGAACTACCATACGACCCAGCTATCCCACTATTGGGTATCTACCCAAACAACTTGAAATCAACAATCCAAAGTAACATATGCACCCCATGTTCATTGCAGCACTATTCACAATAGCCAAGACATGGAAACAATCCAAGTACCCATCAGCCGATGACTGGAAGAAGAAGATGTGGTATATACATACAATGGAATACTACTCAGCCAGAAGAAAAAGAGAAATTCATCCTATTTGCAATAACATGGAAGGACCTAGAGGGAATTATGCTAAGCGAAATAAGCCAGTCTGAGAATGACAAACACCAAATGATTTCACTCATATGTAGAAGATAAACAAACACATGGACAAAGAAAACAGTTCAGTGGTTACCAGGGGAAGGGCGGTGGGGGTAGGCACAGGGGGAGAAGGGGAGCACTTATGTGGTGACAGTCAAGAAATAATGTACAACTGAAATCTCATATTGATGTAAACTATTATGAACTCAATAAAAAAAATTGAAAAAAATTAGATGTGTCTGAAGATGAATACATAAGATAGGAAAATATTAAATTGTAAGTATTGAAGTTCCTCCTCTCCACCTGCTGAGAAGGAAGGAGGCTCTACATTGCTTGGTGACGAACTTTGTGTTTCACAGTACGGTAAAGCCTGGAGACGAAGAATTGGAGAAGCCAAATTCCTCTCCATGAGAAAAAAAAAGATGAAAAAATACAAAGAAAAGATCTTAGAGGAAAAAGCAGCATGGGTGGCTAGAGAAGCAAGGGCAATGTGTAGGACTGCAGTGTTCTCAAACTTTGTTTTGGTTCAGAGGCAAGTGAAAGAGGACTGAATAAGAGGAAGGGTGGTACTTGGACTATCACTTCAAAGCGAGAGCGTACTTAAGCAAATTTCTCAGTTACTCGAATTACATCCTTTAGGGAAACTCACTGTTCAGGCATGAGCGTTTCACACAGAGTTAAAGAAACATAGTGCTTTGTGAGTTCATCAAATTAGAAATGTCAGACTTCATCAGGATGGGCTAAGTTTAATGGCAGTCATAAATGCAAAATCTTAATGGCTTAAACCAAGAAAGATTTATTTCTTGTGCACACTATCTATCCTTAGAACTCCAAGAGATATGGCCCACTTTTGGCCATAATTTCTTATATCATAATTCAAGTAGATAGCACAAAATAAAGGACTTAATTGATGTTCAATGATGATGGAATTGCTCATCCTAGTGATGACTCTTTTTCACAAAATAAACATTTATGGAAAATTGGAGTTGAAATTCTTAGCGGAGAATATAAGGTGAATATTAATAGTGATTCAGTTTTAGAAGATAAGCCTAATAAAATACAACTTACTTCATTAAAATACCCAGAGGTAGCTATTTTATTGGGAGGTCTTGATTTATTAGCAGGCCTTGCAAAAGCATTTATAGGTTATTGGAGATGGGGTAATCCCAAAGCAGACAAGTGACAACAACTTCATGAATTTGTAGATGGTAAAAGTAATTCGCCAACAACCTAGTGGAGTATTCTGTAAAGACCTGTATTGGCGGGGCTGGCCCCGTGGCCGAGTGGTTAAGTTCGCGCGCTCCGCTGCAGGCGGCCCAGTGTTTCGTCGGTTCGAATCCTGGGCGCGGACATGGCACTGCTCGTCAGACCACGCTGAGGCAGCGTCCCACATGCCACAACTAGAGGAACCCACAACGAAGAATGCACAACTATGTACCGGGGGGCTTTGGGGGGAAAAAAAAAAAAAAGCAAAAAAAAAAAAGACCTGTATTGGGCCAATAGGATTTCTTAGCTTTCTTAGGTGACATATTTCACACTGATGGTTTCCAAATATGAAGATTATTCTTCAGTGGTTTGAGATGGCACCCTGGAATCTAGTTTTTTTGTTTTTTTTTTAAAGATTTTATTTTTTCCTTTTTCTCCCCAAAGCACCCCCGGTACATAGCTGTGTATTCTTCGTTGTGGGTTCTTCTAGCTGTGGCACATGGGACGCTGCCTCAGCGTGGTCTGATGAGCAGTGCCATGTCCGCGCCCAGGATTCGAACCATCGAAACACTGGGCCGCCTACAGCGGAGCGCGCGAACCCAACCACTCGGCCACGGGGCCAGCCCCTGGAATCTAGTTTTTTACAAAGTTCCCCAGCAGATTTTAATACAATTAGTCTGCAATGTGGACACTTAAAAAAAAAAATGAAACCTGTATTTTCAATTTGGTGCATGGAAACATAAAGGGGTAGAATGTAAATATAAAGTTATTGGGACTAATGAGCAATCAGTTCAGTATAAATTGAAGATTATTTTAAACCATAAGGCTATGAGGTTATTTTATTACTCTTGGATTGATGTTCTAATTTCTACCCATGGTTCTGTCACTAATTTCCTATGTGATTTCAGGTATATCACTTACTTTTACTTCAGCTTCTTCTGACAAACGAAATCAGGTAGATTATTAATGAAGATCCCTAGCAGTTCTAAAACCCCAGGTTTCCCTGAAACTTTCCAATTACCTTAAAGGGGTGGTGGGGTATATATAGGGGTCAGATATTTGATGTAAGCTCTTGGTGGCAATTATTATGAAAAGAAATGTGGAGCATGAATGTCTGGCTTTGTTCTCTTACCTTCAAAAAATGCCAACTATTTCCAGGGAAGGTAGTAGGCTGCCGGGTATGGACGAGGGCAGGGTCGGAGGGAGACCGTTCAGGACATGCTAGCCCAAAATAAGGCACCTTGGCATACTGGGTATTTCAGGCTGAAGGAATGTGAGAAATGGATGTGCAGGAAGGATTTTCTGATCTTTCCCTGAAGCAGGTCATAAAACCCTCATGTGAGAGGTGCCCTCCCTGTACCTAGAGGAAAGAAGCATCACTATTTCTGACGTGGAAGGGACACAGAGGAATCTGAACAAAGAGGCCTCGCTAAGTTTCCTCCAGTTTGTTACACTTACCTCATACCTTTTGTCCTATCTTATCCTTCCATTACTTTCCACTCTTCAACAAACCTAGCATAAAAACACTCAGACTGCACCATTTCTCCAGGTCATCATTTCCTTATGAAAGCTCCTGTGTCACATAAAACTTATATTAAATAAATTTTTATAATTTTCTTTTTGTTAATCTGTCTTTTGCTACAGAGGTTCCAGTTGAGAACTTAGAAGGGTAGAGGAAAATGATATTTTTTCTCCCCTACAGTATGTGTATCACAGTTGAGAAAGTCATGGGGTCTGGGGCCAATTACTCATAGATCATATCAACCTCTTGAAAAATGAATTATCCGCACATGACCTCAAACAGATAAGCACAGTGTTGACTCAATAATAAAATGGGAGATAATAAGGAAAACAAAACTAAGCATCACATCTAAGTAGGTTCCAGACATAATTTTTATGCCAGCAGTTTAAATACCTTCCCATCCCACCCTTATTTATCTTGTATCCCTCTTATTAACAAGCAAATAGCAGAGATTGAATAGGGAGGCGTCAGTTTAATTTGACAAACTTGCCTAAATTGAGAGTCTGAACTAGCTTTGACCCAGAGAAAGAGCTGAACTGAGAACCCTGAGGTTTGCAAGTCTAAACAAATCCTAACTGCTTTCTGACGTATTTCTGCCAAAGACAAGTTGACTGAGGTTACAGAGAGATGGTTTTTCTACAAAACATTGCCAACTATGCTCAAGGCAAAATTGCAAGACAGAATTTATTTTCGGCCTTCTTCCAATGCTTTCTCCCACCTCCTGCCCCTAACCCTCAATACAGGAAATGTGCAAAGGCTACACAGCGCATAAAAGTCTACAGATTTACGGGCTTAATATGTGAAAGCCATTTTTGGGAACTACAAATATACGTGATACATAGTGTCATCCATTAAGACGCCCATGTGTATGATTTAGTGGGGAAGATAGAATGCTGCAATGGAGATATTAACAGGAACAATCAAACTCACAGGCACAGAGAAGACTTCCTTACCCCAAACACCCCAAATTCTAAAACAATCGCTTTCCCCAACTCCCGCAGAGTACTGTGATCTGGCTATCACAGTGCACTGTTACTGTCGATTTAACTAAATCCCTTTTGAGAGTATCAACATTTTGAAAGAGTTCCCTTTTAGCCTAAAAAATGTTCTAATTAGTGAAGTTCATTCAGCAGTGAAGGGTCTCTCTGGAGCTTCAAGTTTTAATCTGAAAGTCTCAATCTAAGCTTCCACCACCAACGCTCCCCTCCCACCGTTCAAAGTTGATGAAATCAAACGCCTTGAAAGGAAGGTTTTAGTAATTCAGATCACTTGAGAAAAAACCAGAAGTAACGGTGGGGTGGGGGGAATGCGCTAATTTTTAGAGCTTGGGGATTGTAAACGTGGAGAAATGACGCCACCTCCTGGTAAAGCTCGGGAACGAGCAGTCGAAAAGCCGCCTGCTACGGTCCCGCTAAACCGCTGCTTTCATTTCAAAGCATCAAGCCACGCGTCTCCGGCGCCCGCAGAGCCCCGAGACCCGCCCCTGTCGGCCGCTCTGACCACTCAGTGCGTCCCGTGTAACGTGATTGACAGGGCAACAGCCCGGTCCGTTACCTATATTCGTCACTTCGGAAACAGGGACCCGGTCCTTCCGGAAGCTCAGGGTCCGCGCTCTCCCAGCATCCTTTGCCTTCCGGCTCTGCTCGGTCCCGGCCGGCCAGTCCCGCCTTGCGCGCCCATTTCGAGCCCGAGTTTCAAGCTCGACTTTCCAGGCTCGGGAGCCCGGCGCAGATTTTCGGGGACGGGCTTCTTGGGCAGGGGCTATGGGGGCGGGCATGGCGCAGCTCGAGGGTTACTACTTCTCGGCTGCCCTGAGCTGCACCTTTTTAGTGTCCTGCCTCCTCTTCTCCGCCTTCAGCCGGGCGCTGCGAGAGCCCTACATGGACGAGATCTTCCACCTGCCGCAGGCGCAGCGCTACTGTGAGGGCCATTTCTCCCTCTCGCAGGTGCGGTCCCCAACCTGTCCCCACCCTAGGACCGGCCAGAGAGGGCCGCCCCCGCCCCAGCGCTAGTTTCTCCCCACCCTTAACCTTAGTTCCCTCCGCTCCACCCTCCCAGCCTCTGACTGTGAAAGGAACTGAGTAATCTCTTGTTCCTGTCTCACATCTGTGAAGTACCTGTTAAATGAATGAATAAGCAGCAGATCTGGCTCCTAGGAAGATATTAACTGTTGCTCTGGGAAATATATTAATGGGGAATTGAATTCCTGCCCCTCTTCTTGGCAACTGATGAGAGCTATCTGTTTTTCATCCCCGATCCCAGGATTAGAGGCATTGGGCTGATCCCTGGAAATGTCAGAAACCCTCACTTTAGCTCACCGGTCAGGCGCTTGACCATGTATTTTGGAGGTGGGACAGACAGGTGGGGAGGGAGGGATGTTCGCCACCAAGAAGTGACAGATTGCATAAATTCCATCTTTGGTGTTTTTAGGAACGTTCTATTAACTGGATAAACTGGCAACCAGTGAAGTGGCATCATGTTTGAATATATAATTGACTACGTAAATATATGGATACAAAAATAAAGTAGACATATTTTCTTTCCTCTTCTAGCGAGGCAATATGGAGTAGTGATTAGAAATAGAAGGTCTATAGTTAGAGGGAGACCTAATTTTAAATCCTAGCGCTGTTATTTACTAGTTATGTGACCTTGGAAATTTTCTGAGTTTCAGGTTACTCATCTGAAAATGACAGTAATAATGGTATCTACCGTAGGGCGTGTTGCAGGATTAAATACAGAGGGTTTAGCCCAATTTCTGGCTCGGTACACGTTAGCTGTCATTATGGAGCTTGTGGTTTAATCTCTTTAAACATTTCTTTCTCTCCAGACCCATCAGAGTTCCAGGCGATGTTTCCATGCTTTTTAAAACTGGCGCTTTTGCAATGTAATCACCAAAATACAGGCTCTCTAAAGAGTTGATCTTGGAAAATAGAAACCCATTTTAAGTTGTTGTGGTCTGCTGGTTGTTGATAGCTTAACAATCACAAAGCAGGTGCAGGGGCAAAATATAAACACAACTTTTCTTTAGAGCAGACATCGCTACTTCTCAAAAAGCCTCATTGTTGGTAAAGATGTTTTGAGCTTGACATCTTTGTGTCAGTATTACGTCTTGCTTTTGCTTCATTGTCGGCCTTTGATTTTTAAGTGGGATCCCAAGATTACTACATTACCCGGTTTATACCTGCTGTCAGTTGGAGTGGTCAAACCTGCCACCTGGATCTTTGGATGGTCTGAACATGTTGTCTGCTCCATTGGGATGCTCAGATTTGTTAATCTTCTCTTCAGTGTTGGCAACTTCTATTTACTATATTTGCTTTTCCGCAAGGTACAACCTAGACACAAGGTATGTTTTCAAAATACTTTATTGTAAGCTTATGTGCAGTTAGGTCCATAATTTTGATGACTTGGTTTTCTGAGATTTGGTGAAAAATGTCTTTAACACATAGTTTCTGTGTATGTTTTGTAAAGATAAAGTAAGTCCCCCACCCCCATTTTAGAAGAAACTTGTAAATACTTGAATAACTTATTTGTTTGTAAAATCTAAAGTAAATATGTGTTTACGAATCAAACAAGTTCAGTAAATATTTATTGAGTTTATTCCGTGTGCTAGGCACTGAGACTAGAGAGGTAAATAAGGGGTTTTTTTTCTTATGGAACTTTTATCTTCGTTAGGGAAAACAGACTTTACCTGAGAAATTTTGAGGTGATTTAAGAATGCAGGCCCTGGAGGTGGGTTGCCTGGGTTTGAAGTCTGTCCATTTCCCAGTTGTGTTGCTCTGAGCAGGTTACCCCTTACTGACTCCATGGCTTCATCTGTTAGATGGAAATGATGCAGAATCTACGTCAGAGGACTATTATAAAGAGCAAAGGGGCTTAGTGAATGGAAGGTGCTTAGCATAGTGCCTGATATAATAGTAAAGACTCAATAAATATTATCATAATTATTTTTAACTTAAAGAAATAATTTCAGTAGTGTAAATTATGGGACAATGATAGGTCTATGACGCTACAAGGATGCAGAGAAGGCACAGAGGAGCACCTGCTACAGCCTGACTGGGAGGAAGGTGTTGGGTAAGGCGTTGCCGAGAAGATGGTCCCTGAGCTGAATCTTGATGAACAGATAGGGCTTTTGAGTGGAGAATGAATCCTGGCAGGAGAAAAAGCATAAGCAAAGATGGAAAGGCGTTGAGCAACAAGATGCAGGAAATTGCTATTTGGAGTCACAAGATTATAAAGTACAGGGACGGGAGCCTGGAGAAGTAGGTGTGGGTGAAGTCGTGAACGTCCTTGTATGTCATGGAAGTATTTTGAGCTTCATCTAGTAGGTGATGGACAGCCTTTAATTTTAATGAAGGGAATGGCATGGTCTGATTTGGTGATTTAGATTAAGTGGAGGATGCCATTCAAGGAGGTAAGAATACTTTCATTCTGAAAGTCAGAAAGGCCAAAGGAAGATAACTAACTTTAGATGGGGCTACTGAATTCAGGAAAATCCCTGTAATTTCTTCATGAAATAGTAAGATCACTGGGTGTGGTAGTATAAATGCTAGATACGTGTTTACATTCTCTGTAGTGTAGAGTTCTGAAGGGATATCTTTAAAAGAAATTGGTGATGATGGGCAAGCGAATGATTATTGAAGGCGCTGAGACTTAAGCTCGGGGAAATGGAACCACCTGCCCTGTGTCCCATTTATCTCCATGTTCCCCATAGAATTTAGGTCAATGTCTTAAACACAATAACTTTTTACCTATTCGTTGAATGATTCAAAGTATTTTAGGCCATGGAAGCTTTGGCACACACATGTATTGTCTTAATGACTTCCAAACTGATAGATGTAAGTAGTAAGTACCAGAAAGTGTCCTTATAAATGTGTACAGTCCTGTGTTGCTTAACGTCGGGGATATGTTCTGAGAAATACCTTGTTAGGCGATTTCATTGTTGTGTGAACATGATAGAGTGTACTTACACAAACCTAGATGGAATAGTGTACTACACACCTAGGCCGTATAGTACTGATGTTATGGGACCACTATGGTATATGTGGTCTGTCGTTGACCGAAATGTCATTTTGCAGTGCATGACTGTATTGTGTTTTTGCAAAGCCAGAAATAAGATTAATATTGAATAATTTTATTTAAATAAGATTCAGGTAGTTTTTTGTTTTTTAATAAATCTCTTCATTATCTCAGCAGAAATAGCTTGTTTTACCATGAAAACAATTTTAACTGTGTTTTATCTTCCTCCTAGGCTGCCTCAAGTATACAGAGAATCTTGTCAACATTAACATTAGCAGTATTTCCCACACTCTATTTTTTTAACTTCCTGTATTATACAGAAGCAGGATCCCTGTTTTTTACTCTTTTTTCCTATTTGATGTGTCTTTATGGCAATCATAAGACTTCAGCCTTGCTGGGATTTTGTGGCTTTATGTTTCGCCAAACGAATATCATCTGGGCCGTCTTCTGCGCAGGGAACGTCGTTGCACAGAAGTTAACTGAAGCTTGGAAAACTGAGCTACAAAAGAAGAAGGAAGAGAGGCTTCCCCCCGTCAAAGGACCGTTTTCAGAATTCAGGAAAATTCTTCAGTTTCTTTTGGCTTATTCCATGTCCTGGAAGAACTTGAGTATGCTTTTTCTTTTGACTTGGCCCTACCTCCTCCTAGCGTTCATGTTTTGTGTTTTTGTGATAGTTAATGGTGGAATTGTTATTGGCGATCGGAGTAGTCATGAAGCCTGTCTACATTTTCCTCAGCTATTCTACTTTTTCTCTTTTACTCTGTTTTTTTCCTTTCCTCACTTACTGTCTCCTAGCAAAGTTAAGACTTTTCTTCGCTTAGTTTGGAAACGTAGAATTCACTTTTTTGTGATTACGTTAGTCTCTGTATTTTTAGTTTGGAAATTCACTTATGTTCATCAATACTTACTAGCAGATAATAGACATTACACGTTCTATGTGTGGAAAAGAGTTTTTCAAAGATATGAAATTGTGAGATATTTGTTAGTTCCAGTCTATATATTTGCTGGTTGGAGTATAGCTGACTCATTGAAATCAAAGTCGATTTTCTGGAATTTAATGTTTTTCGTATGCTTGTTTTCTGTTACAGTACCTCAGAAACTGCTGGAATTTCGTTACTTCATTTTACCTTATGTTATTTATAGGCTTAACATTCCTCTGCCGCCCACATCCAAACTTCTTTGTGAACTGGGTTGCTATGCAATTGTTAATTTCCTAACTTTTTATATTTTTCTGAACAAGACTTTTCAGTGGTCAGATAGTCAGGACATTCAGAGGTTTATGTGGTAGTATCAGGGATATCTTGAACTCTAAAAATAGACTTATTATTTAGATTCTTTCTACAATGAAGAACTGAACAGGTTAAAATTATGAACTTTCTTTTAGGTGCAATGATGATCCTCAGATCACATCAGATTTTTTTGTGTTATAAACATCAGATATATGTGTTTTAAACATATATAACAAATCCAAGGAAGTTAAGTGGGAAAGAACTGAGACAAGTTTAAGACTTGCTCTATAAGCTTAAATAATGGAAAGGAAAATTGTTTACAGTTATCTCATGATATCTCTGTGATACTGCTGGCCACTCAAAAGCTTAAAAACTTTTTATAGATGCAAGTTTAGGAAAACTGGGCATGCTTTATTGTACTGGAACTTATTTATTCTCTTCAGAAAGCAATGGCAGACAAAGTATTTGAAAAATATTTACAAATGATCAGGTAATATTCTTGATTGAAAATTTGCTTAACATTTCAGTAAATATAATTTTAATCATAAGGCAAAATAGGCTCACATAGTAAATGTTATAAATTAGAGACTCATCTGCATTTGTCTAGGAATCAAGTTGTTGATTTTTGTTAAAAATCTAGTAATAATGCTCTTTCACTAATTCCTAATATGAAATATATGATGGCCAAAGATTAATCGTGTTGAGGATAATACTTTTTAAAAGAGATTTTCTTTCTAAAATATGTTGCTGTATTAGTTTCTATGGCTGCCGTAACAAATTACCACTAACTACTTGGTAAAAAAAAAAATTCTTTCACAGTTCCAGAGGGCAAAAATCTAAAATTAAGGTGTCGGCAGGGTTGGTTCCTTCTGGAGGCACTGAGCGAGAATCCATCTCCTGCCTCTCTCCTCGCTTCTGGTGGCTGTCACTGCAATCCTTAGTGTTCCTTGCTTTACAGATGCATCATTCCAGTCTCCGCCTCTGTCTTCACATGGCCTTTCCGTCTGTCCTCTCTTCTTTTTCTTATAAGGACAATGTCATTGGATTTAGGACCCACCCTAAATCCTAATCCAGGATGGACTGGTGTTGGGATCCTTAATTATATCTACAAAGACCCTTTTTCCAAACAAGTTTGCATTTACAGGATTCAAGTAGACACATCTTTTTGTGGGACACTTTTCAACTCACTAAAAGTTACCAAAGGAGATTTTAGGATAAAACTTATAGGAAATAATTTCTTTGCTGGTATATTTTAAATAAAATTATATCTTTACTGAGAGGATAAAAACAAATGACTTCGAAGGTCACATAATCTAAAACTAAAGGTAACTGGTGTTTGATTTCATTATCCAAAAAAAGTTAGAATTGAAAGGAAGTTTAGAAATCATTTGATCTAGTGTTATTTTGTTGATTAGGAAATAACTACTCGGGTAGGAATTTTTTGTGTTGGTCTGTGGATTCTGTGTCTGCTATTTAAGTGCGTTCGTTGGGTTATCCTTCCATCACAGAAGAGTATTATTTGCACATGTTAACTTTGACAAATAACAGAACTGCCAATAGAATTCATCTTTTAATCTAATTTTATGTTTGTAAACTTTTTAAAATACCTGTGAACAAATTACTTTGTCTTCATTGTTGGATTGTGTGTTCTCTGAATTTTAAATAATGAGTGGATTTGGAAGGTATTCTGCATTTGGAAATATAAAATTGTGTACAGGTGAAAATTACAAGTATAGCCTTGAGTAATAAATAGAGAGCAGTCTCTTGTTGTACTGCGGTCAGTACTTAGAAGGAGATTGACTCTTTAGTTAGAACAGTGATTGTAGGACGTTTTTACCCAAACTTTTTTTTTTTTATTAGTCAAGAAAGCACACTCAAGGAAATTATTTTATAATGGAGATCTGAGTTCCAAGAAGTCAAAATTGAAAAAATTGTGTAGTCTAGGGAAAACAACTTTCTTGTCTGATACTATTAAATGCAAGGCTTTTGTGTTTAGGAATGTTTCTGAGACAAAAAACTTTTTCTCTCTACTCTAATCTGGTAAAAATGAGGACACCATTCCACCCTATTGCTTGGGGGAAATCACTGTTCCAATTCATTTTTAAGTTTTGAGTCCTTGCTATTTTAAGAGGTGTTTTAGAGAAAGTCTGCATTCAGAGGGAACCAGGTTAGTCTTCCATGTTGTCCACGGAGCACATGAAATGCAGTATTTAACATTTTAGAAAAGAATGCTGTGAATTAAAAGGTGCTATAGAGTGTTGCTTTTAGAAACATCCTACATTCTATTTGTGTTTTGAATATTTTTCAAGAGTTATCAAATAGATACTTTTGACATGAATTTTTAAAAAATTAGTTTAATTTGTTGATTAAAAGGTGATTATAAAAAAAGGTTAACAACCTAGAGACCCTGTGGAACCTTGCAATTATTGTTATTAAAGTCTGTCAGCAGGATTATTTTCAAAAGTATCATAAAAAGATTTAGTCCATAAACTTTATAGGCCCAGTAATAAGTCTTTTTGAACTTTTCTGCTATCAATATAGAGTATTATCTAGTTTGAATTTAACTGCCATCTGGGCTTGACTTTATTTTTTCTTTATAATTGTCTGAAGACAGGAGAGGAGAAGAAAAGAGATCCTCAGTTTTTATTTATACCCTCTAAATAGTGGACTGTTATTTTAGACTGACTTTTAAGCGAAATAGTCATATAAAGAAATAAATTCATGTTCATTAACTTAGCATTATCTTTGAAGCAATTAGAATTTCCTTAGAAAGTGAAACAAGCAAAGTGTCATGCAAATAATATGAAAAAGTTTTTTCTAATGGAAATTTAAATATGACTTAGGAACCATGAGATTGTAGAAAAAGCATTTAACATGAGAGTTAGGATTTCTGTATTCGATTGTGGTTCTAGAATCGATAAGGCAAGTGGTTAAATCTTGGGTTCTCATTTCAAATGAGAATGGTATTTGTCCTGCAGATACTAGTCAGTGCCTGACACATGTCTGACTTATTTCAAAAGAATTCAGGGCCTACCATATATCCATAAAGTTCATAAAAATATAATAAATATTGGGTAAGTGTATACCGAATGAAGTTTTTACTATAGAATTAAGAGCATATCCTAGAAAAAAAATACTAAATGGTCATAAGCTAATTTTAGGAAATAAATCATGTTTCATAATGAGAGCCCTTCTAACCCTGTTCTGCCTAAATTTTCTAACCTAGTTTTTAAAATTTTTATTTACTACAGTGTTTAATACTTACACATATATTTACTTGTAAATATGTTATAAGTTGTTTTATAATAGGATGTGATTTCAAAATTATTGCTGTTTATTTAAAATAAGAAAAATAAGTAATCTTTAACCATTAAATTCTAATAGTAGTAGAACTCTTGATGGTTATTATACTTTTAAGGGAAAAGAGATTTCAACCAATTATGAGTATTTTCTGTTATTTTAGTTAGGCTGCATTTTACTACTTTAGGGATAAATAATCTTTTGTTTAGGGTACTTTTTATGTATTTAAATGTTGACAATAAGACAAACATTTCTGATATGCTAAAACTTGTATAGCTGAAAAAATTATATTAAAAATTGACAGATTGAAGATATATTTTTTACACATATCTGTGAATCCAACTCTAAATTCTTCAACATTGGGAAACAGTTATTTCTTGGGTAAGAAATTTTGTCACAGTGCAGTAATACAGTAATATCTTTATATCGTGCTTTTTTGAAAATGTGCATTTGGTGAATTTAATGTTAATTTGAGCTCAGTGTATCACCATCAGACCAAAAAAGATCATGGTATTTTGTTGACCAGAGAACAATCAAACATTATGTTGATTTTTCATACCGACTGAAACTTAAGTCGATTTAGTTCAGGTGAACTAGGTATGTGTGTGTGTGGCACATATAAAATGAGGAAGAGAGGGCGGAAAGGTAATAGTAACAATAATGATTGCTATCATTTATTGAGCACCTGTGATATTCTAGGCATTATATTGGCTGATTTACAAATATTGTCTCATTTGATCCTACTCATATTCCTATGAGGCAGGTGTTGATTTCTATTTGCTGGAGAAGCTGGAGGTCAAGGTCAGGTAACTTGCCCGAAGTCAACACTGTCACTTAACATAGATGGATCTGACTTTGAGTTTTTGACTGCTACTTCACCTCACAGTAAAAGTCTTTCATTAAGAGAAGTAGAATATGGAGAGAGAAGTGATAATCTGTCTTTACTCTGCATTAGCCAGACTATTCATGGCATATTATTTTTTGTATTGGGTATAGTCATTTTTAGAAATACTAGAAACTGTTCAAAGGAGCATGAAAGGATAATGAGTATTTATAATTGTGTTGCAAGAGAAATGGCGAAAAGAATAGATAGGATGTTTTACCTGGAGAAGCAGAGATCCTGTAATTTGGTAAGTTCTCATAATTGAAGAATAATTTTTTGGAAGAAGGATTGGACTATTCTATATGCCTTGAAGTATAAATCCAGGGCCAGCAGATTTCAACCCATTTTCTAATTGTTTAGTCTGCAGGGTAATGGACCCAGAAGAAAAGTAAGTTTGCCTGCTCCCTGGAGGCAAGATTTCTAGCATCTGGGATGCTTCAGAGGAGATTCAGATAGCAAGTAGGTAGTCAGAGTAAAATGGCTTTTTAAGATGCCTCACAACCCTAGGATTTGAAATTCATAAGTTTGTTACACCTAATATTTTTTGCATTAATTTATAAGCCATGGTGAAGTATTTCTGGCGACTTGCATGATGTCTTCAGTATATTTTAAATTTCTGAACAAAAACTGCTTGAACTCTGTTACCTTGTTTGAGAAACAAATTTGAGATACACAACTTAGTAAGCGGTATTTTTAGCTATAGTGTTTGAGAGTACTGCTAATATAGTATTTAATTTGTTTTCTGGTTTTTTAATCCCCTTTACATTAGTCAAGAGAATGTGCTTCTATTTGAAAACATTTTTTCCCTTAAAGATAAATAGCGTAAGCACTATCTATAAAATTTTTTTAAATACGGTATCCACTAGGTGGTGATAATGTGCTACATTTCCAAGTGTTCTTGTAATCAAACTTTCTTATTAGTCTGAGTTGACTTTTTTATACTTTTAAGTTTTGAACCACAAAGTAATTTATAGCATCTATGTCTATTTATTATAATGTTATTAAAAATGGCTCCTGTTGTATGAAGCTAAGATAAATGTAAAAAACGTCATTTTTGTGTTTTGTAATCATATATTAGGTGATTCAACCTACTATATCTTCCTATGTGACATTCTTTACTTCATATGGCACAGTCAGGATCTTTTTCCACAAACAGTGAGTGATGATAATGACAAATTTGGGAATTTATATAGCATTGTACCAGCCACTGTTTTAAGTGCTTTGCCCACGTTATTCATGCTCTTAGCTACCTTATGGCATCAGTACTGTTGTTAATATCTCCACTCTCCTGAGTAAGGAAACTGCGTGTAGAGAGGTTCTGTGTTTTGCCCAAGATTACAAGATAACTGGCTGAGCTGGGGTTCAACTCTAGGGAGGCTGACACCAGAATCCGTGTTAACTATTAGCAATTGGTGAGGAGAAGTAAGCGCACAAGTCTACCTTCAAATTTGTAGAATGTTTTAGAAAGAAATGTTTTAGAAAGAAAAATAATCATGGAGAGTGTGGTTATACTCTGTTTTTACACGTTGGAAAAATGAGGCCCACACTAATTTTGGCTCTTGCAGAGGCAGATAATCTTTCATCTGCCATTGAGTCTTCCATTTCGGTTTTTGTGATGGTGTCTCAAAGTGCTGTGTGTGTCCATATGGAAATGAAGGAGAAGAAAACAAAACAACTCAGGATTAGAGTTTTTAGCCATATTAATTTACATTGAAATAAAGACCTTTGTTTTAATTAGAATGATTCCAGCTATCAAATGGGGAGGAGCATAGTTGTTTGAAAATTATAACTTAGTTTCTCCAAAGAGACCCCAATTTGGAAGCAAATTGTCAGTTAAAAATGACAAACTTTGTAATTTTTTTTTTAATTTTGACTGGAAAACTTAGTCTTTTAAAAGATCTATAAATATAAGTTCTAGATGCTTTTAAGTTTTATATTTTCTTAGATACTGTTCTGTAAAAAGGAGAGGTTTATTTGACTTCTAAATTGTGAGTTCATGTCATTTAAAACTGATTTTTAAGTAAACCTATTCTTTCTAGGAATAAAAGGTAGAAATTTTTCCTTTTTAAAAAATTTGTTCAAATATCATGGTTCCATTTTGTTTGTAAATAAATTCATGTTTTATAGTATTTTGTAATTTGCAGTGTCTATTTAACACATTCTCTTGTTCTAAACTGGATGCTAGTGGCTTTTTCTTTCACTCACACTGTACTAGTAACCATTTTTCCCTGTCTACCACTTACCCATTCCTACACTTCATTAGTCTTCTTGAAATAATAGAACTGAATAATGCTTTTAAATGTCTGTAATAAGTGCCCATGATTAGCCTGGATGACTAACTTCATTTTTTTCTCGTAATAGCGGAAGGCAGTTAAATTACTGGCTGATCACCTTCAACTTGTGGAGGCTTGGTTTCTTTGTTAGTCAGGTCTGTAGAGAGTCCACAGTGTTTTCCAAACAGCTTTAACTTGGCAGGACTCAAACCCCAAATTTTGATCGTGTGATAAGGAGAAGAGATCCGTGCTCTGCGTTTCCAGACTCCCAGCTCTTGCTTTCCACTGGGCTTCTTGGAGTTTCCCCTGCTGACGTGCAGCTCAGAGGTCAGCCAGAGACTTACACACAGATTTGGAGGTTCCTCCTCTGTGACTTCCTCATTTCTGGGACTTCCTGTCTTAGTTTATAGGCACCGTGGCAGCCCTTGCCTCCATCCTCTCACACCTCAAGCCAATGATAGTGCAGCTTTCTGACTCCAATGTGTCTTCGGGAAAAGGCATATAACAGGAGTGTCACCCACTGCCATCTTGCAATGATCAAATCCTGTCCAGTTCCTGCCTACGTTTGGTTATACTTCAGGGCCTTCAAATAGATCTTTTTTTTTTTCCTTTTTAAGTTAGTCAATCTATGGAAGAGTTAATAGGATAAAAGTTCCTCTGCCATTTCCTGCTCAGCAGCTTTGTCTCGATGAGAGTTGTCATGTATTGTGTGCAGTCTTTTTGTTTACGTATGAGAAAGTTGGAATTGTTACTTTTGCTTTGAAGAACTAAAAAGGAGAGTTCCTGAAAATAGTTTAGGTGGGGACAGTAAGTTTTTGGAATATTGACTTCAAATATGGCAGGAAATCATAATAACATTTGTAATTAAATCCATTGACCATTTGAAGGTCATTTATGTGAAAATGTTATCAAGAATTACAAAAGTAACTGTCACCTCCAGGCAAGAGGAACTCGCCTAATTGGGGGCAAAGTAATGTAAAGCATAATATGATGACGACTAAGGAGGAATATGAGTTAGAGTGTTTACATGGAAATAGAAATTATATCTGACTGAAGGGACAAGGAAATATTTCACGGGAAAATTGGCATCTGAGATTATACTTGATGGAGATCTGTGACGGCGCTGTGAAAACATTCCAGGTAGAATAAAGGGGTGTGAACAGAGATTGCACAGTGAAGGTATCATACACTTAAGCAGTAGGTGACAATGACAGTGGCCAACATTTATGGAGTGCTTGCCATATGCTAGGCGAGTCTTAGACTAAGTCTTAAATATAGATTAATTTCTCTAAGCCTCATAATATCTCTATAATGCAACTACTATTATTATTGCCATTGTACTGCTGAGGAAACTGAGGCGCAGGGAATTGAAACCATTTGCAAGCTGAGGGGTGTGGCTCCAGGACCTGCCCTCTTAGGCAGGGCACTAGACTGACACTAAACTTGTATACTCTGACAGCCTGTGCTTCAAAGGAGCCGAGGTTATTTTTAGGTAGAAAAAGAACAGTGTTCCACTACGTGTAATGAGGAACAAGGAGAACACACCTCCCACACACATACCCTATGGTAAGTGGAGTTGGAAAAAATAGCTATTATTTGAGAGAGGATAAGCAGGTTTCCATTAAAAGATAAGGGAATTGGTCTGTGACCACCCCCCACCGCCTTAAATCCTGTCGTAGGTGGTGCAGGGACCAGGGAGAAGGGCATTCCTAGTAAGGAACATTAAGGGTTTGGGGGGCCACCCTAAAACACTTGGTCTGAAAGGTTTTGAAGCCAGGAGAAGAGATGTCGTCTTCTCAGGGGAAACGTTTTTTGAGAGGAAGCACGTATCATGTCAGTCTTCCTCAGCAGGTACTGTTATATGTAATTTTTGTGGTTTCTTTTACTGTCAGTCTCTAAAGATATGATGAAAGAACTGAATTTAGATGAAGAAACCTGGCCTCACTTGGAATAGTAACTCCAGTGATGCCTCTCTGCGTGTTTGGTCTTCTGACTGGGTGACCAAAAATACTGCAGTTTCAGAAGTGTGAGGAGCCCTGGCCTAGGGAGGGCCACAGGAAGGGGAGACCTTCCTGACCTAGGACAATGATTATTAATGAACCCCACCTAGAAATCTGTCTTAGTCACAGAGTTTATCCCTTTTGAAATGCAGGGGAAAGTACCACATTAAGGCTAATCAGGCATTAACATTTTAGTATCGTAAGACAACATCTGTGGGTGTTCCCTCCAATCACCAGCACCTCCACCGCACGCACCCCCCACCCGCCATCCCTGCCCTCCTACATAAGTGCAAGTACTTCTGGGGTGATGGGCGTGAAAACTTTAGGAACATTGCTGGGAAAAGCAGGAAGAAAATGAAGCAGCAAGACTGAAGACAGAAAGGGCCAAGAAGAAAGGGGGGCCTGGAGAGGAAACGTGTCTTCATCTGTCGGGGACTCAGAATCATTCTCTTCATTGAAATATTTCATTCAGCAGGCTCATTTCTTACAGAACGCATACCGAACACCGATATGAAAAGAAAGAAGAATGTAATAGGATGTGGGTTGAAAGACCATGCTGATCTCTTGGCTTGCACAGCAAAAATTCAGAGTGGCGTTAATTCTTTAGGGAGAATAACTGTTGGGCAACTTTCAACCCCTTTCTGTTAATCTTGTTTTCAAAATGCAGTATCCTAAATTTCACTCAAGGTGGCAATCTTGGACATCTTTTCCAGTTGTTAGTCTGACAGGAACTTTATACCATTTTATTTACCTTCATATTGTCAAAAGCACTAACAATTTTTTCAGTGTTTTTTGAAAGACATTGTTTGAATGCGTTTAGCTTTCAGCAAATATATTTGTTTATTTTTGTCACGGAGCATTTTGAAATGTGACCAGTGGAAACTTCAATCAGATAATTACAACTGCATTCCATCCGCTATTAAGAATGTGTGGAAACCTTTATATTTTCTGCTTTTTTTTCCTGTTGGAAAACGAGTCAAACCTGGAATTTATAAATGCAGTTTTAATCCAAATGGATTTTATTATGTGTATATAATGACTAAATGTTTCCAAAGAGCTTCTCTTGATGGTAAATTCCTGTTTCCCTTCTATCTGGCCATTAGACAAGGAGTCAGCCATTCTCTGACAGCTGTGCTATAGGGCAGGTTACTTGATACGGACAGAAAGCAGAGTAATTTTATTTACAATGCTGAGTGACATAGGAAGTGAATTTTTAAAATATTTATTTTAGCTGGAATAAATGCAATTTGGAAGTTTCTGCAAGTCTTCAAATGGTTTTCAGTTCCATATTATGTGACTTGCCGTGTGGCCTTTGTGTGTTTGAATTCTGTGTAGCTAGAAACTTGTTTATGGGTCTTCTGTCTTTTATAATGTTTGATATATAGCACATCTTTCCCTGTGTTAATTTTTCCTTTTTTATAGGTATATGAAAAAATCTATGGACTATTGGTCATCCAGTGATATTTTCTAAGTCTCAAGAGAGAATTCAGTTTGGAAGATCATAAATGTATTAGCATGTAATCTGTGAATCTCTAGATGTACTCTTATTTTTTTCATAAATTCCTAGTTAAATGTCATTAAAATGAAGGGATTAGTATATTTTTACTTTCTTCCTAATCCAGTTTTCCTCTATCAGGAGCAGATTCTTATCAAATTGAAATAATGGTAGTTTCTGGAATAAAAGTACCTCATTATGAGAAATAATTGTCAAGCATCCAAGAAAAAAATTCTGATCAAATTTGGCCATCATATTTCTTAATGGTTTGGTAATTT